GGCGTGCTCGTGTTCTTTGTATCATTGTAAAGTACACTGAGCACTTTCTTCATGGAAATGGGCTACGTAAGTGAAATTGTTAATTATAACTCCATAGTCAGCCAGTTTTAATGTGTGTGTGTGTATGTGTTTCTCCTGCAGCCCCTCCCCCCACCCCACCAGACAACCTGACAGTCAGGTTCAAGCTCAAGTCACGCTGCATGTGCCAGGCAGTACTCAGCTGGCAGCAGCCGCAGGTCACGGACGGCCGTAGGGTCAACCAGTTCTCTGTACTATGGGGACCGAGCCGAGCGCCCCCTGGTGGCGGAACAGCTTCTGCGTCTTCGCTGCTATCGTCCACCATTGTATACAACACGGCGCCTTTCAAGATCCAGGTTCCTGGGGTGAGTTTGTTAAATTGTGATTGGGGTGGTGGGGGATAGTACTTCTGTAGTATCCACTATCAATTAGTTACTCTGCCGTCGTAAGGGAAAACGACGAATGGTCAAAATTTTTCGATTTTGGTATTTTCACATATTTCATAGAGTATATAATTCTGCATCTGATGGTGTAAAAATTTTTGTCATAAGTTAATCTGTTGTTGCGTAATTGAGAGTTCGTCGTTTTCCCGTACACTGGCGCGCTCCGAGCCAGAGCTCAGTGTAAGGGAGAACGACGAATGGTCGATCGGTCAAGGATCACTGCTCGTTCGGCGTTGTCCCCTGGTCTCTGCCGTTGGGCAAATTCGGCATGGGCGACGAATGACAATTGGTCACTGTTGCGTCAGTTCAAACATGCTACGCCTTTTTAGCAAACAAAACACACCACCACCCCCTCCCCCGGAGTACCGTCGATGGTTTATAAGAATGTATCTCTTAGTGTGTCTTTCTGTCTGTCTTCACGTATTAGGCCTATGCTGATGGTGTGAATTGACATGAGCAGGCGGGAGAGAGGGGGAAACGGATGGGAACAGGGGGAAATGGGTGGGGATGGGATGGTCAATAAAGTATTTAGGGAGAAATTTATTAGCACTGCATATTAGTGTCCGCCAGATGTTCACAGACTAACGTCATGTTAGTTTGCTGTCCAGTCATTTGACATCCCAAATCCCAACGATGGTTATAGTGCCGCAATTTGTCTAGCACGTGTCACTGGTCGACATCATTATAGAATTACCAAGCAATTAATGACACTGCGTTATGAGAGTAAATTTCTTTGTCCAACTTAAAAAGTGGACGTATTGTGGCGACACTTAGTCTTGCTTTACGATTTTTTATGACTTGACGGACGTTACGATGGAGTATAATAATGTCTTGTAGATTCAAACTGTCCTTGTCGATCTCTACTTTGTGGTAGGTCTGTTTTCCGATCCGATCAACTGAATTCTTTATTAAACATAAAGCGTTGCATTACCTCTCCTAAAAGCGTTTGAGATACAGTTTTGTCAGATTGTTACATTTCTTATGTGAAAGTTTGCCTTTGCAATGATCTGATCGTATTATTGACATTGTAACATTGTTGATCCCTTTGGACGTTCAGGGAAAAATTTGCAATTAGCGAAAATAAAAAGTAAAACTCGCTTCTGAAGAGAATACAGTAAAGAGATATTTTAGAAACAAAACTTTGGTTCCGAATGAGACAGTTTTATATCAAGTTGGTGCAAATGTGTGCACATCTGATTTGTACACTGACTGTGTAGTATTTAATCAAGCGAGGAAGGGAAACGAAGGACGTTTACCGAGTTACAGTTGGGATATAACAAAAACCTAACTTTATACGTATAATAGCTGGTTTGTATACGTCTTATTTTTATTTGTAGTTACCAGTACACAGTCATTACTGTCAATGGTGCGTCATAACTGACCATCGCCTACGCCCATAAACGTTCACGAGTGTAAGGGAGAACGACGAACCGTACCATTCGTCGTTTTCGCGTACATCGCAAGGCTCACCTGCGGGTGCGCAGTGTAAGGGAGAACGACGAATGTCAAATAACTTTGCTACTCTTTAATCTAAACCATTCAAACTTTAGAAACTGCTTTATGAACATCTAAATCAGATATCTGGTGAATTACAGCTTAAAAGAGTGAAAAATAGAAGAGTTATAAAGTGAAAACTGTTTTTGCCTCTCGTGAAAAATTTGCCTCGCTACCTGCGCAGGACCATTCGTCGTTTTCCCTTACGACGGTAGTACTGCTGTTCGTTTTTCTTACTCTTCCTCTGTACTCACCTGTTTATATGTGAAGCGTGCTGACAAAATAAGTTACTAATCACTGAAATGCTTCTTTGATTTGCCAATTTTTGGGGGCCTGAAATGCTTTTCTGTTTAAACTTTTGAAAGTAATTTATTTTGTTCATAATTTTTTTTTAGATTCCATTTTCCTTCTTGTTGCTTCAGTATTAGAATATTTTTGTATTAGATTTTGATTGCATAATTATAGTGCAATAAAAAAAAAAATTGGTGGCGCAGCTTATTGTCCAATATTTCCTCAGCTATTGAACATAGACTCTCCTGCTTTTGCACAATGATTAATTGTATCAACATGTCTTAACAGATGAAAAATGAGCATTTTTTCTTTCAATAGGGTGTGATCGTAATATAAATAACAACTTCTTCTTTTCAGAATGACTCCTATAAACATAAGCTCCTTTTCTTTGAATGGGGTTTGATTCTAAACTTAACAGTAACTTCTTCTTTTCAGAATGACTCAAGGGCATGCATGACATACCTGGAAAAATCGAAGCACTACACTGCTCAGATCATATCTCAAGCCTCCAAGCTGAAGAGCACCCCGGCGGTCCTGCACTTCACTACCCCGGACAACATGACCCCATGCTATGACATGGGAAGTAATTTTAATGGTAAGTCACACAGCATCAAAACACACGTGTGTGTGGTTGGCGGGTGCTCTGATGTGGTTAGCTCCTTCTTTCCTATCAAACATCTATAGTCCTTTTTTCTCCTGGTTCTTTTCTGTATTTGTCACTCTCTTGTAACACTTCTATTCTTTGGCACTTATATGGCTTAATTAAGTTGCAAATGTCGTGAAATGCTTAGTAAAGAAAAAACAAAACGGTTCTTTTTTTCTTCCCTTCCCTCTGCTTTTTTAGTTATCTGTATGGCTTTTCCCCTGCACAAAATGGCCATTGTTGTGCTTCTTGTTACTCATGACTAAAACTCTTTTTATGGTATTGAAGATTGTATTCCATTAGAATCCAAAATGCCTTTGCAAGACCTTGGTCAGGTCCCTCGGGTTCTTTACAGCTCATCTATGAGGCTAGCTTCGCTCATAAAGAACTGTGTATTTCAATGCTTAAATATGAAACAGTTGAAAACTCAAAAATCAATCCTTCTATCATTTTGAAAACTTATGTATAGCTAATTTTGATGTGCTTGAAAATGTGTATTGAATTATTTCTCCTTTTTGTTTTTTTTTAACCCTGGGCTACTTCGTGGATGGCGACATTATACATGACATCTCATTTTATGTATTGTTTTCTTGCACAAATCAGCTTTATTTGCCAGCAAAGATTTGTAAAAGTTTTCATTTTTGATCTTCATAGATCTGAAAGAAACAGACAACTCGCAGTTCTTAGGATCTGTGGAAGGAACAGAGGAGGTGACCACGGCTGCACCTATCATCACCACCGAGAATCACGGCCTACCTCAACGGAGCAGCCTCTTTGTTGTGTTCATCATAGTGCTTGTCGGTGCAGCGTTTGCTTGAGGTGGAGGGAGGCTAGAAGGCTGACCACCATATTGTTATGCTGCTTACTTCCGGGACATCCACATACTCAGTGATGTTCTGGGAATGTTAACTAGGACTCTATCAAAAGCGGAAAGAAATGAAGAATCTTTGACTTCCCCCGGATTCTTTTTCTCCCTGCATTTTGTGTCCAAGTTTCATATTCATGGGAGTATTTATTGCTTTTTAGTCTGAAGCAGCAACAATGTCATCTGTGTTGTAGAGCTGGGTTGGATAGGGTGTAGAGGAGGGATGGAGTGTGTAAATTTCAATTTTCCTGATACCCATGCTCAATATGTCTTGGAAGATCATGAACTTCTGCAAAAAGGTAAAAATAATCCC